AGCAGTCAGTCCACCAGACGAGTTGTCGATAGCGCAGTACCTGCTATATCACTGAGTAGAATTGTCTTTCCCAGTGTCGCCTGAAAATCCCATCAGCAGCATACCATCGTCAACCTCTTCCTATCGTACGCCCGTTCATTTCTTCTTTGAAGTAGAGCGCAGCTTCCAATGCACGTCGGAAACCCACATACTGAAACCACCATGTCCATGCACTGTCCTCTGCGACGTTACTATGGAAACGGGATGGGCACAATCGCTCGCGGTGACTTTATTCGAACAGTGCGGCCCGAGAGAAGTTTGGGGACGCGTCGTGTCGTTGCCAAGCTCTGCGGGATCGGTTTCATAAAAGGAATTCGCCTCATTATTCCTCCCATCCGAATCGGAGCGAGATAGGAATTTGTAATCAGATAGAATGGAAATTTCCATACTATACATGATACAGACAGGATATGAATTCTATCGAAACTGGAGTTGCGGAAAATAGATATAATATCGATCTCTCACAAAATATATATAATTTTGATTCAAGAAATATACTCGCAGTAAACTCTCTCATTTGCTCAGATAATTAACTTCAACATGCAATTTGTTTCCGCATTATTTTACGCTCCGAATATAATTTACTGACGGAGAACATAGTTCATCATTTTACATTGTTTGTCGATGAGTAGTGGACAAACTCCGGACATTCCAGACATTTCGGACATGTATTAATATGACATTATTATTACATCAAACTCATGCAATGGAAATAAAATTAGGATATTTTTTTGATTATTTACTAAATAAATATATTATGAAGCCGATTCACAGAATATCTTTATAAGACACGTTGTTCTATGTGTTTTACATTGTTTTTAAAATTTATTATTTTCCCATTTTCCTCGATTAAATGTTATATATTATTCGGTCAATTGTATATAAGTATAAATTGTATATAATTGTATATTATTATAAGTCATGAATTATTCGTTATCTTATAATCCCCACTTGATATTAAAGCAATTATTAATGAAGCCGCAATGTGACGATGGAGTCATTGCGAGTATGACAAGTCGAGACTCTATCGAGACTCTGAAGCGTTAGTAGAGTGTCTCTCGCCAACTTGTGAACATTTCGCCGGAAACAAGCTCCCTCTAATCATTTGTGCGAAATTCAGAAAGATCTGAGCTAAAGTTAATCGCGCGGATGCATACTCCTGTTAAGTTGAACAGTGATCTAATCGCGGACTTTATATGATCGGAGGTAAACCACGAGAACTTCTACCAGCTTGCTCCCGCTTGAAAATGTTTTATTTCCAATGCGCGCAAAGGAACTTCTCTCTCACATAAAACGCGAGGCGTATCACGAGCATTAGAATGTTACTGTACCAGTCCGGTTTGATTTCTCCCAACTTCCCGACGAAAAGCATCGAGAGTTCTCGCTCGAAACTCGCATTTCCGCGCCACGCTCATCACACGTGCCACAGAACTGCGAGCTCAAAATTACTTCGTACAGTCGACTCGTAGCAGGTGTTGGGCATGTACCGGAGAACAACGATAATCTATGCGTGCAATATCACTTCCTATAAAATCCAAATAAGCAAGCAATAATGGAAAAATAATAGAAAAATCAAATATATTTGTTGTTATTTATTGTTTGCTTAATTAGATTGCATATCAATGGCGGTCCTCTGTACTGTATCGGCGTCATTTGCACAATACAAAATACTAGTTAATAAAACATATAATTTATATAAGATTTACTTCAAACACACACACACACACACACACATACACTATTCCACACATTTTCAATAAAGCACCACAATTTTCTTATTATTACACCATTATTTAGCTACTGATCATCATTTTTTAATAATTAAAAATGTCGCTGAATCACAGTGTAGAATGCTGTTATAGGTGATGATTCAAATCAGAGATTTGTATAATTTTGGCGAACCCACTTTTCATGATGCAGACATACAGGAGAGAATGATCTCTATTTATTTGTGATAACAGAAACGTAAAAATTCTCGTAAAATTAATCTCTTTTTCTATCTGAAATATCGAAAATTGAATACTTCGTAGCTGTAGCGGTTTTCATTTCTGATTTACATATTTCACGCGTAGATTATACGTGGTAGAGCCCAACGCTCGTAAGCGTCGAGGGTACGAAACATCTGTCTATAATAGTACGAGGATCTAGTAAAGCCTGCATGTGCTACACACAGCATTGCGCACCGTGCATCTCGGAAGCGTTGACGCGTGCGACTGAACCGTAGGTGCTCTTTATCGTTGATTGTATCATTCTTATCACTTTTTTTCTTCCCTCGCGCAACGTGCGCGGGGCGACCTTCGATTAATCCGTATTACGTTTGGTGCGACTCTATTAATTAATTAATTAATTGATCTTCCTTTTACCGCGATAGACGATTGCAAAATTTTTAGTCGAATTTATTCTGCGTGTACTGCGATACGATTCTTTTTATCTCCCCCTTCCGAAAGGCAAGACCGAAGCTTGGCTTTTCGGTCTGGCGCTCGGAAGCATATAGTCCGGTCCCGATGGAAATCGACAAGAGGATTCAGCAGCATCAGCAGCAGTCAGTCCACCAGACGAGTTGTCGATAGCGCAGTACCTGCTATATCACTGAGTAGAATTGTCTTTCCCAGTGTCGCCTGAAAATCCCATCAGCAGCATACCATCGTCAACCTCTTCCTATCGTACGCCCGTTCATTTCTTCTTTGAAGTAGAGCGCAGCTTCCAATGCACGTCGGAAACCCACATACTGAAACCACCATGTCCATGCACTGTCCTCTGCGACGTTACTATGGAAACGGGATGGGCACAATCGCTCGCGGTGACTTTATTCGAACAGTGCGGCCCGAGAGAAGTTTGGGGACGCGTCGTGTCGTTGCCAAGCTCTGCGGGATCGGTTTCATAAAAGGAATTCGCCTCATTATTCCTCCCATCCGAATCGGAGCGAGATAGGAATTTGTAATCAGATAGAATGGAAATTTCCATACTATACATGATACAGACAGGATATGAATTCTATCGAAACTGGAGTTGCGGAAAATAGATATAATATCGATCTCTCACAAAATATATATAATTTTGATTCAAGAAATATACTCGCAGTAAACTCTCTCATTTGCTCAGATAATTAACTTCAACATGCAATTTGTTTCCGCATTATTTTACGCTCCGAATATAATTTACTGACGGAGAACATAGTTCATCATTTTATATCGTTTGTCGATGAGTAGTGGACAAACTCCGGACATTCCAGACATTTCGGACATGTATTAATATGACATTATTATTACATCAAACTCATGCAATGGAAATAAAATTAGGATATTTTTTTGATTATTTACTAAATAAATATATTATGAAGCCGATTCACAGAATATCTTTATAAGACACGTTGTTCTATGTGTTTTACATTGTTTTTAAAATTTATTATTTTCCCATTTTCCTCGATTAAATGTTATATATTATTCGGTCAATTGTATATAAGTATAAATTGTATATAATTGTATATTATTATAAGTCATGAATTATTCGTTATCTTATAATCCCCACTTGATATTAAAGCAATTATTAATGAAGCCGCAATGTGACGATGGAGTCATTGCGAGTATGACAAGTCGAGACTCTATCGAGACTCTGAAGCGTTAGTAGAGTGTCTCTCGCCAACTTGTGAACATTTCGCCGGAAACAAGTCTAATCTAATCATTTGTGCGAAATTCAGAAAGATCTGAGCTAAAGTTAATCGCGCGGATGCATACTCCTGTTAAGTTGAACAGTGATCGCGGAGCGGACTTTATATGATCGGAGGTAAACCACGAGAACTTCTACCAGCTTGCTCCCGCTTGAAAATGTTTTATTTCCAATGCGCGCAAAGGAACTTCTCTCTCACATAAAACGCGAGGCGTATCACGAGCATTAGAATGTTACTGTACCAGTCCGGTTTGATTTCTCCCAACTTCCCGACGAAAAGCATCGAGAGTTCTCGCTCGAAACTCGCATTTCCGCGCCACGCTCATCACACGTGCCACAGAACTGCGAGCTCAAAATTACTTCGTACAGTCGACTCGTAGCAGGTGTTGGGCATGTACCGGAGAACAACGATAATCTATGCGTGCAATATCACTTCCTATAAAATCCAAATAAGCAAGCAATAATGGAAAAATAATAGAAAAATCAAATATATTTGTTGTTATTTATTGTTTGCTTAATTAGATTGCATATCAATGGCGGTCCTCTGTACTGTATCGGCGTCATTTGCACAATACAAAATACTAGTTAATAAAACATATAATTTATATAAGATTTACTTCAAACACACACACACACACACACACATACACTATTCCACACATTTTCAATAAAGCACCACAATTTTCTTATTATTACACCATTATTTAGCTACTGATCATCATTTTTTAATAATTAAAAATGTCGCTGAATCACAGTGTAGAATGCTGTTATAGGTGATGATTCAAATCAGAGATTTGTATAATTTTGGCGAACCCACTTTTCATGATGCAGACATACAGGAGAGAATGATCTCTATTTATTTGTGATAACAGAAACGTAAAAATTCTCGTAAAATTAATCTCTTTTTCTATCTGAAATATCGAAAATTGAATACTTCGTAGCTGTAGCGGTTTTCATTTCTGATTTACATATTTCACGCGTAGATTATACGTGGTAGAGCCCAACGCTCGTAAGCGTCGAGGGTACGAAACATCTGTCTATAATAGTACGAGGATCTAGTAAAGCCTGCATGTGCTACACACAGCATTGCGCACCGTGCATCTCGGAAGCGTTGACGCGTGCGACTGAACCGTAGGTGCTCTTTATCGTTGATTGTATCATTCTTATCACTTTTTTTCTTCCCTCGCGCAACGTGCGCGGGGCGACCTTCGATTAATCCGTATTACGTTTGGTGCGACTCTATTAATTAATTAATTAATTGATCTTCCTTTTTTTCTGTTTCCTCAACACTCTAGTTGTTCAGGATTAAGCCTCTGCCAGTGTTAGTAAGTACCGCCACTTGATCTGGTGTGATTGGACTGCTGTAGTTAGAAGGCTATGCGTATACATATATATTACTTTTATATATATATTATATATATATTACATTCATATATACATTACATGCCTCATATTCTATCTCTGCTCCTATTACCTATACACGCCATCGCTGAAAAGTAGAACTCTCTACTCGGACTTCCGTGTCAATCGATTTTCCTTTTTAATTCCGCGTTTAACTCGCGTCGCCTCTACTTCGCGATAGGAGTCCTCAAGCGCGAGTAATACATATCGATACGTTCGCTTATGTGCCTATATACGAGAAAATTTCCATTCGCATGGGCGCTCAGAGGAATGCTTTAGAAATGAAAGAAAAGCCTGTAAAAAATTATATAGTTTCTGTAGTATTTACAGGAATTAATTAGAAGCTAAGATAAAAATATATTTTAATTTCAATTAAGCTATTTTGATTTTAAGTCATCGATAGTTTATGAAAAGTTGGAAATTAAAGGAAAAATTTGTTGAATTAAACTTTGCGGATATAAATAAAAGTGTGAAGATAATTTTGCATAATTTTATTGACAATATATATATAAATAAATTTAATAATATTTATTTTTCCTACATTTTTAGCCTGAACGTCCATGTATTTCTTGTCAAAAGAAATTTTTTCGCTTCTTAAAGCACTTGATGTAATTTGTGAAAAAATGATTGTCCTGCCTGAGAACGTGTGGCTCTTTCTTATGCTTAAATTCGAGGGATTCGACATTCCCGAAAAGAGCACTTGCTGACATGATGCTAGCACAGACATACCGCTTTTTAAAATCTATAGACGACGGTGCCACACGTTGACAGGGGTCACGATTAACGTTACGATCAACCGAGTGTCCGCGAAGATATCGATTCTTGTATATTTGATTATTTATATCCGGGATATCCAAAATTGCGGAATTTAAAATCTTGCGATTGCCATACGATTCGGGAATTGAGTGGACGTAAGTTATTAAATCTTGTTTCATATTTTTTGATGATTTGGTTTTAGCCCGGAAATGTCTTTCTCCTAAAGAGAACACTTTATACGCGATTAACGATTTAATATTATCAATACGCATGAAACTTATAAATTTTTTACATACATAGTGTATATGTTTTTGTATTTATTTATTTATACATTAACGATTTTATGAACGGATTTTAACCATGTCCGGGTTTTCTCTTACTAGAAGTCATGGCAACCCTAAATAACCGTGCAATTTTATCGATATGTAAAACTTACAACACAGATAATAAATCTGTACGAATATTATCGATATTAATTTATCGGTAAATCATAAGTGATGATATATTAATATCAAGAGTTATTTATATATTAAATAAGAAAAAATATTATTATGGGATATTAAAATGTTACAAATTAGTTGCTGAACAAAACAGTATAATGTATTCAGTTACTATTCAAAAATTCTTATCCATCCAACGCACGTAATTAATACATACGTTAATTAGTTCTTGTCGATATTCTAACTTCCAAATATTCAGACAAAATTTCTAATTTTAATTAAAACCAATATATAATTATGATATCTGTATCGGATTAATAATATTCGTACGGAATCAATGAACAATCAGTTTTTTCCCTCTTCTCCATAATCCTCGCGTCTCTACATATTAATTATTAATCAAATATCTCCGCGGCTCTCTGTGTTTTTCATGAATGATACACGCGTTAACCAGAAGCCACTCTCGTCACTATGCAACCATATTACTCATCATACCCACCTTTTTATGCGTCGTTCTTTACTCACACATTCATTGTAGTGGCCGCGTCGCATATCTGCATCATGCATCTTCGGTATGCGTGCGTGCGCGTATACATGTGCGTCTGTTTTGCGTGATGTGCAGCAACTAGTGCTTGAGCTTCTTGTAAAAAAAAAAAAACAAAAAAAAACCGGAATTACACTCATACATGTATCTATGTATGCCTTATTTACATGTAAATACGTATTGTGTATCGCTAAATGACCAAATCAGCGCTGATGGTAATACGCGATAAAAAAACTCGCACAATGCTCCCGCGTTTCTCCAATCGAAGAATTTCTCCCGAGCCGAGATGAGTGTACCGATTGATTGTAAAAGCCGCACGGCCTTTTCGAAGTCGATGACCTAACTGCGTACCGATTGCAAAACGTCATACAGCGACGTTCCGAGATCGGCGAATCCATATCTCGTCTGGAAATTTATTTCGCGCGTGTCCCCTTCTTCCTAACTTTTAAGCGATGTGGCGAGATCGAGCTACGAATCGATCGCTGGTTGTCTCGAGATATAACGTGTAAATTCGTATTTTATATGCCTTGTAATATCGATACACTGCAATTTCAACCAACTTGCGAGCGCTCTATTGATACCGTGTACATACTCTACAACATCGTATCGTTACTCTTTGCAAGAGCTATTGCCAGTGCTTACTACATCGCATTTTTCGCTTCTCTCTCGCAATATCTAGATTCGTTCGCTAGCGCAGAGCTATGTAGGTTTATCAGCGATCGATTTAGCCGTAGAACGATATCTTAGTCACGTCTCATGGATCGAGGATCTATTGTTGTTGATGAAATTTTTTTTTACTAATCCAATCGATATCAATGATTTCACTATGCGAATCAATTATATCTTACAATTATATTAAATTTTTTACTTTGTATATTTTGAATAGTTATTTTTCATATAATTTTTCTCATTAAATATGTCAGCAAGCAAAGTGAAATCCTTGATGTCAAACTTAATAGTAATTTTGTAACAACGACATTTCTACCACTTTTAAGAAATTTTAACATGTTTTTCCCTGCACCAACAGATTTTCGTTCGAGCACAATTCGATTACGATCCATTGGAGGACGAACTGATACCTTGCGCGCAAGCTGGGATTGCCTTTAAAACCGGTGACATTCTGCAAATCATCAGCAAGGATGATCATCACTGGTGGCAAGCGCGGAAGGATAACGCGGCTGGTTCCGCGGGTCTTATCCCTTCGCCCGAACTTCAAGAATGGCGCATCGCCTGCATGTCTATGGAGAAGAACAAACAAGAACAAGGTAATACAACTTGGCTATTTGCTCGTCTATTTATGTAAAATTGCTTGTCCATAGGACACAAATAGCGTTTCCAATATCAAATACTGCAATAACGAAAAATGAAAGACGATACTTCTTGTCGAGATTATTTTTCATCTTTCGATGAGGATATGAGTATGAACCAGTTTCCGGTAAATATTTGGATTAACTTACACCGCACGGATCGTTTTCATTTTTACATATATTGAGGATTCTAAGGATATTGAGGATTCCTAAGTAATACACGCTTTGAATTTTGTAGCACTCTCTTCTGGTTCCAGAGATATGCGATTTTGAAGTATCATAAATTTCGTATTTACTTGTGTCATCTTTTCGTTATATTCTACTTACGTGTTTATATTTTTTGTTTACATTTGCTCGTTATTGTATCACTGTCAGTACGCTTCTGGATTACTGTTTAGTTTTGCTAAGAATTTCCGGAAAATATCATCTAACCCAAACCTCAGAAATTCATGTAGTCGTATTGAAAGCTGTTAACGAACTGCGAGAGATAGAAAGACATTATTGACAAAATATCCATGACCGTGTACCTATCCCGTAAATGTAAACAAACACTTTTTCGTCTGCTCTACAATAAATACAATGTATACAAACTTCACTTTTCCTAATATTACTTTATAATACCTGAGAAAAAACATTAAAACTGTGAAACTTCAAAATCGCATATCTCTGGAACTTAGAAGAGAGCGTCACAAAATTCAAAGCGTGTATTACTTAAAAATGTACCCTCTACAATATATGTAAAAATGAAAACGATCCATGTAAGTTAATCCGAACATTTACCCAGTTTCCTTTTGTTATTCTGCGTAAAAGTGGTAAAAACATTTGAAAAAAAAAACAAAGAAAATGTGTATTGATATAATACAGTAATTATGGAGAATATATTCTCTAGAATATGTTCTTTTTTTATTTTTTAATTTTGGATAATTAAACATAAAAATATAATATTTTCTGACTTTGTTGTAAAAGTTTTAATAGTAATTCTAAAGTATTTTTGAAAAGAAAAATTTTCTCTGCAATTGTAGGAACGTTAAACGTTTAAACGCTTAAGATAAAGATAATTTTGGTTGAAATCTTGAATAGTGCGGTAATCACAGGTTCCAGCAGATCGCAGAATTTCTTTCGAATACCGATCAGAAAATCAGAATTTTGCCGATTGAGAAAATTGTTATTACTACATTCTTTCACCGCCGTTTAATCAATCCATTTTCATCCTATCACATACAATGATTCCATCCAGTCAATTCCCATTGATTTTTACTGCTGCCAAAAACGAATGTGCTGATGAAACACGATGTCGTTTGTGTGTTGTTCGATGTGTACAGGTTTTCGATGGAGCATGTGGTATCGTTGTTATCAATCAATTATATTACAAATGAGATACGTGTATCGATAGCATATTATTCGCTGACTACGAATTAGTTAGATAATTGCGGTTTGTCGACGCTGGTCCACGTGGCATCTTGAACGAAAACGAAACGGAGATCGACATCTGTAATTTTATAGTTGAAATCCCATACTTTTTTTATTATGCTTCCAATGTGCATAGAAAACATTCTAAAAAAATTATTTCAACTCTTTATATATCTTAAAAGAAGTGTCGCGCCAAAATCGCGTGTTTTAACGCTCCTAAGTTCTCTCTAAATCCTGTAATAATTGTCAATTCTAGAATATGACAACATGAATAGAATTAATAATTAATAGACTTATTAGTTTGTAATGTTTGATATATAAATTGTATAAATATTATGTGAGAGAAAGAGAAAGGGGGAGGGAAATTACTTGAATCAATTTAATATCTACATCTAAAACTGCAATTGTACATCCGCATTTAGTGCTAAATGTGATTATGACTTTAATCAAAATTGAATACAATATATATTATATTCTCATGTTAAACAAATTAAACTTATAATCAAATAACTGCATTTAGCAGTAAACGTTTGATCCTATCTAAGCTTCAATTAATTACGCTTATTGTTAGAGAGATCGAATCTCATTTTAAAAATTATATTTTAAGCCAGTTTTTTAATTCATACTCCATATGACATGTATAAATGCGTATCGATTTCAAATCTCGAAGCTAGGTACGAACGTTTTTGAAACCATTTCATTTGACTAAATGCGTCTATCATCTCCAGATGCTGAAAACAAAGAATCAACATTTACCATTACTTTGAATATTTATTACTTGAATCGTAAAATTTTAAAACGCTATCGCTTTTATGGTAATCGTAAAGTATTTTAAAAAAGAGATGCTGCTGGGTTCTAAAATCTGGGAAAAACAATTGATGGCTAAAGTTATATATAAAATGATTTATTATTCTGGATTTAGAATTTTTATAACATATCTTTATAATATATGCATATTTAATAAAATGGTTAATCTCTAATACAAAAAAAATATATATATATAAAAATCATGAAGTGGAAAAACAGAGAGAAAGAGAAAATAGTAAATAAGAAAAAATGATAGATACATAAATAATTCCTCTTTAAAGTATGATGTTAAAAATCGAGTTAGAGATTAAATTACGGATTGCAATTGTGAAGCCACCATGCGAACGAGGAACTGGATTAAAGAACATGTAGCAAGAAAAAGTTTGGATTGTCATGTAACTCTATGTCTATATGTCTGCTGACACATGTGGGTGGCATGAGAGACGGATTATAGGGATAGGTAAACGGAGAACTAGCACTCCAGGAATAATTAGCTGCAGTGATATATTTGTTATTGTGTGTTATGCGCGGCTAGATGCTGAAGGAGAAGGTGGATGTTCTTCTCACACCGAAGGCTGCGACGGTTCGACAGGTACGTCTCTGCCTTCAGGTAGACACGTGTAGAAACACGTAGAGGACCATTTTAGACGCATGAAATACAGACTGGATCTATGCTTCTAACACACATCAATACAAAGGGGAGATAGAAAAAAGTAGGACGAACATCTCTCTTCATGGTTTACACACAAGGATAATGATCTCGCTTTTAATAATTCATTTTATATCATGAAATTTATCACACTCAATTTCATAATGTAAATGTGCGCGAAGTATTTTCTCATAACATTTAATGAAACGATTAAATAAAATACTGACAAATAATTGTATAAAATATCTGAATTTTTTATTTAGCTCGAAAATTAGCAATAAATCAGTGTTACTGTTTTACTGAAAACATTATCTGGATAAAAAATTTTGAAAGCTATACATTATATTAAGTCAGTCAAAAAGTAAAGGGATTTTTTGTTTGTTTTTTTTTTGTTTGTTTTTTGTGTTCCTTTACTTTTTCACTGGCCTAATATATTATACACTATATATTGCTATTTTATATAAAGAATGTATCGTGGTTATTACACAGTGAACAAATATTTATGCAATACATGCAGTAAGCTAATCTCTAATTATAATCGCATTGGTTTATTAAAAAAATAACACAGATCTGTAATAATTTTTATTTAATAATTGCTTTTTTAATCAATTTTGAGCATTAATTTTAGAAACATTATTAATTTTATTCATTGCGTATGAATTTAAAAAAAACTGTTGTTAAATTATACAATTATAGAAAACAGAAAATAATTTTAAAAATTTTATATTCTGGATCTGTGTGATAATTTTATAACACATTACATATAAAACGTTATCAGCATAAATAAAATAATATGAGCATTATGTTAATAATAATTTATTAATATAGATGCTATGGCATTCTGTGTTATAAATTAATAGATGCTTTTACATAGCGTGCTTTAATGCATGCGTTATTCGCTGCAAAATATTTCACGCACTTATGCTTATCGCGCACGATTTCACTCACAAACATGGCAGCACGATTATAATCGGAACTTGTGATAGATAATTATATAATCGATTACTCTAGATCTTAGCAGGTAATGACACTCATTGTCAGCGAATATCTTGCCAAAAATTTCATATATAAGATTTTATCTCTGTGTGAGTGTAATTCACATTTCATAATTTTATATTCGAGAGGGATGAAAGTTCTCTTTTACGTTTTATATATATTAAATATTTTTAGCACTTTTAACTTTCTCAATTATTCAAATATTTTGGCAAGATATCGCGGTTTACCCGCAATCATGCTATCATTTGCAGCTATAATATATGTTATAGTTTTGCACACAACGAATTTTCCTAGTATATTCAGTAGCTCTATAATCACGAGGATAACACTCACGATGCAATTCATCATAGCTCCGATTATAATACCTATCTAAGGTTTCACGCATCAGTTACATCACGGATCTTACGTTGTCATCTTGTGACCTGCTGGAACACCCCTTTCAATAGGACACCCCCAAGTGCCTTTGGGCATGGCTTCTTTCGAACTGGCTGATTGAGAATGAATTCTTTTTATCAATAGACAAGATTTTGCTTGACCCAGGAATCGATATTCGCAGAGTAGTTCGTTATTTCTTGTCAGCGTGATTCGTTGATTTTCAAAATGTTTCAAAGGATTGCTAATATTAGTGCACATATCGATACGTGTTATATTTTCAATAGGATAACACATTGTATGGTATAATATAGGCGAAGTAATTATTAGGAGAAGTAATCAGGAAATATTTTAACGACATGAAAGACCTTTTATGCAACTGATTTTTGCGAAAAATATTATTTTTCATGTTCTCTTCTTCTCGTCGAAGATAAATTGCATTATTAACGTTTTATTGTCAGAGAATTTCTGATAGATATTTACAAATCGTATTATAAAGAAATAACCGTCGTTTTATTAATTAATTTCTGGCACACGTACACAATTGATACATGATAATTAAATTTGTGAGCCAATCTCGCTATGTGATGGCCACAGTATTGTTATCGTTTTTTTAAATAAATTTAGCGGTCATTTATCGACAATATATAAGGATTTGATTGTTAGCACGGATAATGGATTCCGTAACATGACACTTGCACAGTAATTTGCAAGTTTACACCGGGCAGACATTTCCGAGCAGAGATAGCCTTGTCTCCAGTTTCGCTCCCATCTATATTAACGATCGTTTCTACTTACAGTAAATTGCTCAATATTCGGCCGGAAAAAGAAGCAATACAAGGATAAATATCTTGCAAAGCACAACGCCGTTTTCGACCAGCTGGATCTGGTGACCTACGAAGAGGTCGTGAAGCTTCCTTGTAAGTCTCATTTTTCATATAATCTACAAATTATCAAATATGACATAGATATGCAATATTAATTTTTCTCTATGTAGCTATAGGGATATCTATTTTTTCTTTATATTATCAGAATTTTTTAAAATAAAGTATGACTATTTAATACGTCTCTTAAAAATTTTATCGTTTCATATTTATTATAATCTAATTACATATGAATGTTAAAGCTTACACATAAAACATTACTAACCATTAATTATCGAAATTGTGTTATTCCTTTCTTTATAGATCCTGCCTTCCAACGGAAAACTTTAGTATTATTGGGAGCACATGGCGTCGGTCGACGACATATAAAGAATACGATTATTTCCAAGCATCCCGATAAATACGCCTATCCTATTCCGCGTAAATATCTCAAATTTTTCCTATATTTTAAACTTAAGTTCCATAATCTTAAAAAAATATGTAAAATTAAATAATTGTGTAAAATATATTTATCGGAAAATATTCTCTCTCTTTCTCTCTCTTATATACAAAATATGTTTCTTATGCAGATACAACGAGGCCTCCACGAAGCGACGAAGAGAATGGTCGTAATTATTATTTCGTATCGCACGATGAAATGATGGCAGACATAGCCATATAATCTACAAATTATCAAATATGACATAGATATGCAATATTAATTTTTCTCTATGTAGCTATAGGGATATCTATTTTTTCTTTATATTATCAGAATTTTTTAAAATAAAGTATGACTATTTAATACGTCTCTTAAAAATTTTATCGTTTCATATTTATTATAATCTAATTACATATGAATGTTAAAGCTTACACATAAAACATTACTAACCATTAATTATCGAAATTGTGTTATTCCTTTCTTTATAGATCCTGCCTTCCAACGGAAAACTTTAGTATTATTGGGAGCACATGGCGTCGGTCGACGACATATAAAGAATACGATTATTTCCAAGCATCCCGATAAATACGCCTATCCTATTCCGCGTAAATATCTCAAATTTTTCCTAAATTTTAAACTTAAGTTTCATAATTTTAAAAAAATATGTAAAATTAAATAATTGTGTAAAATATATTTATCGGAAAATATTCTCTCTCTTATATACAAAATATGTTCCTTATGCAGATACAACGAGGCCTCCACGAAGCGACGAAGAAAATGGTCGTAATTATTATTTCGTATCGCACGATGAAATGATGGCAGACATAGCCGCTAATGAATATCTCGAATACGGTAAATTATATTTATACAAATTTTATCGTATTTGAAATTTCTGGAAAAAAGTAATTATTAGCCATCAACGTTGAGAAATAAATAATAATAGATCAATCTTTGATCAAAACATCAAAAAAATAGTATACGTTAAATACATAGAAAGTATAAAATGCAGCATTCTGAAATATTTATTTTAATGAACAGGTACACACGAAGACGCTATGTATGGAACTAAGCTCGAAACTATTCGTAAAATTCACGAAGAAGGCAGGATGGCCATATTAGATGTTGAACCGCAGGCATTGAAAGTTTTACGAACTGCTGAATTTGCACCTTACGTTGTCTTCATAGCAGCACCTGCATTTGCAAATGTTACGGATGTAAGTATAAAACTAATTTTGTACAAGATTTTAAATTAAATATATATACAAGGACTGTCCATAAAGAAATCGAACTTTAAAAAAAAAAGCGTTTCTCAAACTTTGCAAAAAAAATAAGCCACGAACGCTGAACACAATCTCATTCAAATCATCATAAAACGTAAACTAAGAACAATAGCGTCTTGCTCATAGTGTGAGAAAGTTGCTAAAGAATCCCACTACACAGTGCCACGAGGCAGATGACCTCACGTCATCGCATTCGAGTGCTTCTTTTAAAGTTTGGTTTTTTTATGCACAGCCGTTGTATATCATTTTTATAAAAAATAGTATTCACATATGGTCTTTAAGTATACATAATTAATCTCCAAAATAAAGAATGATATACAAGATTCTCAGCATATAAAAGGAGGAATAACATTTTTATAGAAAACTTTAGCGCAAAATTTTTTATTTTGAAAATTTTGATTAGTTTTTAATTAAATATACCATTCGGATTCCTCTAACAAAATCGCTTGTGTTTTCAGTTCGACGGTAGTCTGGAACGATTGGCGAAGGAATCGGACATGTTGAAGCAGGCGTACGGGCATTTCTTCGATCTGACCATCGTGAACAACGATCTCGACGAAACGATCGCTCAGCTGGAGGCCGCGATCGAGCGCGTGCACACGACACCTCAATGGGTGCCCGTTTCTTGGGTCTACTGACAGCGGTCTTCGCCGATTCGTCAGATCACCACCATGGACTGCAACGGCTCGTCGAGAATGAAGCAGTGATCGCCGGCACCGTAACGGCCATCGGCTCGCGATCCAGCCTCTCGCGAAGATCTGACGGCGACGCCGACAGCTGCCGGCATCCGACAGGAATACGCCGCGGGCAGTTATGTCGAATCAATCGGATATATACCAGAAAAACGTACTCGACGCCGATCGGCTCGACGGTGAAACGATCGACTGGAGTGCGTGACTATATGATGGCCGTGTGTTCATGAAGTTCTTTCCATCTCACTGCGTAATTGTTACCAGTCGCGGGACACGAGGGGAAATTAGCGACGTGTCGGAGTCGTCCTGACGTCGATGAGCGTCGTCGCACGGCGTCCACCATCGAGACGTCGGACCTTTCAAAAATGTGGAACGCGCCATCATCGAGCACGGCGAAATCAGTGACGATAACCACGTCACAATGCGTCTGAAGACGGACGCCTTCTCGCGGACCACCAATTTCTCCTGCACTTCCTTCTCCTTTTGTTCCTCTTTCTCCTCTTTTTCGAAACTTCGAAAATAAAGGGATAAAGAAAAAACCGATCAGCTGGAACTCCTCTTGAACGAGACTACTATATACGAATGCATGTCTTTCTCTCTATTCTGTACAATTTGTCGCATTCCTGGCACGGTTTCAGCGAATCTCTCACAGGAATTCCTCACGACTTGCAACCACTCTAGAGGCAGTTGTTTATGACGCGTGTCATGTACAGAGATACGGCGACAACAAGCACCAAAGAATATATCCTGTTTACGGAAAATCAAACGAAAAACAATAGCCGTTCATGCTTTACGCGGATGTCAACTGAACGGCTGCACCTTCGTATCCTACCTACCCTGCGAAATCTATCAGTCGACTTTCCATAAACTGTAATTGCCTCCTATCGTACTTTATTATAACTATTTAAACGAAAAAAGCTAGAGATCGTGCGGCACGGCAGTGCCCGTTAATATATTATACATATATAGCAAAAGACGAGGGTCCTATCGTAATAATCGAAACCCGTCTGACACCGTTCAATCGAAAAGAGGGAGGGGAAAAAAAAGAACATGAACTCTGGTGTGCTGCCGGCCGTCCGTCATTTAACTGTAACTTTAAGCAGTAGAGAACTTCGCCGGTTTCGTCTTAGTACTTCTACTAATATCTAACGAGTGTTCATCTCTTGTCGCAGGGATCCTACTGCGACAAATCTACGCGTATGCTACGAGCGCTTTTTACGTTCAGTGCCGTCTTTTCTATCTTTCTCTCTGTCGCGTCTTCTTTCATTTTATTTGCCTCTCTATTTCTAACTATCCACCGAGCTTTTTTCCAAATACTTTCGGATAATCGGGGCCGCCGTTGGAGCGGGACGGCTCGCTCGCTCCCTCGCTTGACCGTGCACTTGCCTATGCCATTGCCATTCGTCGTTATTGTTCATGAAACATTATCAGCTCAAATATTCATTGATGCACCACCGAGATTGCGATTATACTCTGTACAGGAGAAGCCCGGAACCGAATCGCACATCTCGGACGAATGCACGGACGGCGGATATCGATCCGGCAGCGAGAATTCTACGCTCTCACTCGAAAGAACTTGTATGCAATTATTAAGTTGATATATGACACACATACATACACACACATACGTACGAATACACATGGGCACATATGTCAAAACTACAATGCCACTCTGTTCGCATTACTTATACACCCTCGTACAAAAGCGCATAAGATCGAATGACGAAGTAACAAAATAAAAAAAAAAAAACGCGGTTTATTATAGGATATTTATAAAACGTAAATTTCAAATAAATAGATAGTCTACCAGCTATATGAAATAATAATGAGGAGAGACAGTCTCGCGCAGAAAAACACACATACATACATGCACATGCGTCTACACACGTACAAGTTTATTATACGCCACGCGCACATACACGCACATCTATCCACTCACAACTTACACCCATACACGCACGCACATAAAAATGTACGCGCGTGTAGGCAAGCAGTCGCATGCGCGCGAGTGCAGATTTACAAGATACAGATTTAACGACTAGATAATTAATATATTTACAAGTGATTAAAGAAAAAAAAGATTAAATGTATGACTAATTAATACTAAAAGAATTATTAGGAGACTAATAGGTGATTTGCATATGCATATGCCCGTAGAACGAAGGAGTGAATGTATGCATACATGCAGGCGCGATGTGATAATTTATTGATAACAACCTCGACGCTCACATCATGGATCTGTTCGGGCTTTCGTCGAGCAGCCTTCCTCGCCTTCCTTGTTGCTGCAATGATCTCGAAACATACATACATAAGCGAACTTGAGCGCGCATCTTACTCCCCCGGGGTGCGTTCTTCCTATTCTGCACGCTGAACGATCACGGCAGGACAACACGCGAGTTGGCCGTGTAGCAAAAGCACACTCGATTATTATATATTTCAGAAACGCAAACGACGGGGAGATCAAGAATCTCGCGCTCGCGAGGATCGATGACGCTAATACCGGACAGAGTCGATTTTCACGAAGCCAGATGTGAATTTGTATGTGAGTAATAGGACACTCGCGAGAGAAAAGTATAAAAAAAAAAAAAGGATTGCCCGCCTCGGTGTGATAGCGTATGTATGCGTAAAACGTTATGAAAGCGCGAGGAGAATGAGTCACAAGTGATTTTGTAATATTTCTTATAAGTTGTAGCTGCCATATCCAGTAATTAAGTACTAGGTGCGTTGAGTGATAATCTGACGACGACTGTTATGCTAATGATAATGATGACGATGATGTTGATGATGATAATGGTGATCGTGATGATCGTACGTGCCGTCGCACGTGTGTGTCAGTTAATTTGGGTGAGTTGTGCTAAGATGTTGAGAGAGACGACGGGTCTAAAGAAAACAATAACAAGTTCATTACAATTATGTAATTATAAATAAGAGGAAGAGACGAAGAGTATTATAACACGTTGTTAATTGAATTAATAAAATTAGCCCAAAGTAATGAAGGTGTTTGATTTGAAGGTAAAAAATTTACGTTTATGTTCTTTGTATTAATTTTTTGTATTGTCTATATTCTTTTGTAATTGACGTCTATGTTTTCGTTTTAACGGATGTCTTCTGTAGCCTCTCTTGGCTGATGTCAACGCCGGTATAAACGTATCTTCCGAACTGTCGGTCTTATTGCACTGTGTTTGATCCATAGGAAACATGTACTCCAAATCGATGTCATATCTACATTTTAAAAAGATAAAAATGTATTTCTGATAATCTCATAAAATAACGGCAACTATGCTGCAGATCAATTGAAATAATTCGCCTTATTTCTGGGAATGATTTTCTTATGGTGAAAATATTTAATTAATTTTTAAAGAAAATTAATCTATTTTTTTTTTAATGTCTGGAAAGAGAAGGGGGCGTCGTTAATAAAGTAATTCGGAAAAACATGTGTAGAATCAATGATTCAAATTATATATTGACTATATGAGAGAGATAAAATAAATATCTTGTATAAACTAAAATAATATTTTGAAGTGTATTTTATCGGCATTCTTTGAAAGATTTTTCAACCGACAATCTTCTGAAGAAACTCTAATCGCAATAATATCAAAACAAGACAAATGTACCTAGGCAGCTTCTCTCGAAGATAAGAAATGACGTTTGCCCCAAGGCTCGCTTCGCGGCTCATGATAAAACTAGATAAATATCGTGGACTTTTGCTCTTTTCAGCACAATGCATTAGTAAGGCCCAGGATTTATAATCTGAATCTAACACATATGTATTGTATACTCCTTCATCTAAAATATATCAAATTTATTATAAAATTGTAGCATGTATGAGAGCTTTCTTCTTTAAAGATATATTACTTTGGAAAAAAAATCGATGTGTGCTCTTAATGATATAATGGATTATTATAGCGATGATCCGTTAGAAAACATTTTTCAACTGGAGAGTTTTGAAAAAACATGTTCATATTTAACACGTTACTATAAAATAAAAAATTAAATATATTCAAAAAATGGAAAGAAATTAATTTTATTTAAGAAATATAAGAAAAAATTGAAATATTTCTCCGATAATACAAAAATGTATCGAAAAATAAAGAAAGATTTAATTAATTAAAGATAAATAGCTATTTACACGGAAACTCAGCGTGTACCCAATGAGCAGGTAAGTCCGACGAGGGAATTTTCCACGTGATGTTACCAACGAGTAGCTCATTGATGGGATCATCAGTGAAACTGTAAGTGAAATTCATGGTAACTTCGGCGTTTTCGGGCGAAACCAAAAGCTCAGCTCGCATGCATCTGTACGCAAGAGCTTCCTCGGAGCTTGCATAGTACTGTACTATGTACCACAATCCGAGAAACTGTAAGAAGTGCAAAGTGTCTGTTATGTGCGAGTGTATGTAGACGCAAAGTTACGCATGAAATGGGCCGACTAGTTCACATACATCACGTTTATTTTAACGCGCTAAACATATGCTAATGAACGCATGTATTATACAGGTCAAGCGATCACGCTCAATAGTAAACATTAAAAACATATTCAAGTGTTAAAAACATGTTCAAGAAATTTTCTAAATGATTATCGATTTGTCTTTACCCTTAAAAATATATTTCTTATTATTTTCCAATTGTAAAATGTAACTTCTTCTTTTTCAAGCACTGTATAAAAAAAATTATGTAATTATATGTTCTCTTTCTAAAATATATATTACACACATCGCACATATTATTCTACTGAAAGAGAAAAAGAATGGTATTCTTACTTAATACATTCAAAAAAGGTACTTTATGTTATACATGAAAACATACACACAATAAATTACTCAAATTTATTCATCGAAAGCGTTTTTTGAAAAAAGAAAATCAAGGCAAGTTGGTTGTATGTGGAACGTCGTATATATGTAGCATGTGTCCAAAATAGTCTTCCAATCTAAAAATAAATCCGCTAAATATTAGCCTGAAAAGAGAGTCTGTGCAAATGCAAGGCTAGTGAATTATAATATACTATATATGCCCAAATGACGCACGTTAAATAAAATTATAAATATTTATACACGTATGTATTACACGTGTTTGTTTTATGAGATTTATTAGATAATTAATTATAAACATTTTGTTGAACATTAGACATTCGCTTCGTTTTAAACCTTCAGATAATATAAATATATTTGGATTTACAGTTGCCGATTTCTATTAAAACAATAATTTTTCATTATTAAAAGATTTCCGTTAAAATATTTTTATACATTAGTTTATTATTTGATTAGTTGTAATTTTCTAATTAGAATTATTTAAAACAAAAACAAAGTATGCAGAATTTATATACAATATGATGAATTTTTAATCGCAAAAATAAAAAGTTGAGATCAAATTCTGTATATAAATAGTTTTTATTGTAGTTAAAATTATTTATCAATTTATTCATTGAATTTATTGATTGAAACAATTATTCGTACCGTGCCTTTCGTATTTGACATTTACGTGTGTGTATGAAGCTGGCATAAAATCTGACAAAAAATAGTAAAGAAAATTTCGCAGAACACAAAGCAGGATGAACTTGGCATCTCGAATCTTTGTTCTGCTTTGAGACAATTTCTTTGGTTTAGTAAGTAGAATTATTTGTTTCAATTGTCAAGAATTATAGAATTATTAAAAATAAAACTAGGATTTGTAATAATTTATAAATTTGCACGGAAAGATATGCTAATTTCATATATACATTATCATTAGAATATTTGCCTAATTGTAGTTATTAATCATATATCTTTAATTTAAAATCCGTTGCAAAGTTAATAACATATATGCAATATTATGCGTAGAATTGCGGTTGATAGAATGTCAACGTCATAGCAATTATTATTTTCTATCTCAAACCAAACCGTACATTGTTAATTGTACGGCAAATGATAATCTCTATTACTATTGCATAGAATCGGCATATTACGCCTAATAAATATAGTCGTGGATTGCGCTCTGTAATTAATATTCGACCGATGTATTTGGCAACGGTATAAATGTTCATTGATTATATTCATTTCCAAAGCCACATCAGCAGCGGATAATATATCAATGCACTTCATACTGTTTCGTAGCAATATATCACGCATTGAATGAAGCACACATCAAACAATGTATCTACGTAAATAATATAGTCCAATCATGAAACAGTCCTCGAGGAAACACATGAGCAAGTTCAATTTATTGACCTATTTATGTATGTAAGACCATGTTTTTGCAACAATATTATATATATATATATATATATATATATGTGTGTGTGTATAATGCAAATGTAAAAGAGAGAAATATATATTTAAAAAATATACAAGTATAGGAGAATTGTTGTGAATAATCTTTCATAGTCGGAAGGGTATTGTTAAAAATAGTTGTATAATATATTAAAATAAAATGTGTGAAACTATTCACTTTTCATTTCCGCGCTATAATGATCTCGCGTCGCGTAGGTGACGAGAAATCTCGTACCTCGGATATATCAAAGTTGCGTATGCCCTTCACTTTTGGACACTTGGTCTTATCCTCCCGTCTCTTCCAAACACCGCCGGAGGCACTGACAAGGAGACCGACGAGCAACGCTATTGTTACCCAACAGAATCTCAAACGTCGTCTCGTGCTGAAATGCATCTTCGCCATGCATTCAGATTTCGTTCACGAATACGCACGAACTAGCCAGCTAAGATTGCGCGCACGACACGGTTTCTTTTCGACTGTCGAGGCGACTAAAGGCCACGTACGTATGTACGAGCGCACGAAGAATGGATGCGACTCATGACTATTACTATACGAATGAAGAGGGGGTGGCCACTATCACGTTCCTCCCTTTGCATTCTTGCTGCTCTTTCGTTTTCAATCGGCAACTTGTTTCATGCGTAGAATTCTCATAACGCCCTGACTCGGAACCAGGACTCGTGGGTGTGCGATTGTCGTTTATAGCTGAAGAGACGTGCTCGCCGCGTGCGAGTTGCTCATTCCGTTTTGTTATTTACGTTTTCCAGCTCGAAATCGGCAAAAAAAATGCGATCTGCGAGAACCTTTTGCGACCCTTTCACTATCGAATTACGATTACAGAATTTACGAGCGTGTCGTTTCTCGTAAGACGTGTGAAATGATAGTCGGTGAAGTGGTTTTACGATTGTAATACAGTCACAAAAACAAAGACAGTTTTGCATAAACAGGGCTGATCTTACGGTCATCGACACGTTTGCAACAATTCAAAAAATTTCATTCAAATTAGATAAATAGATTTGATTTTAATCCGTGATCTAAAGGCAATGCACTCCGATGTAATTATATCGAGAGATATGTAATATTTCTCGAGAAATTATATATTTTTCTTTATGTATCTGTGTGTGTGGTGTATATTGATAAAGAATATATATTAATATTTATTCGATTAATAATTTAATATAATATTAAAAATACTAATATCTTCATCAATCAATAAACGTAACAGTACAAACATATAGACATAATTAAAATGCATTGGACGTGATAATGCAAGTGTATTTATTAAACAAATATATATGTCGTATAATTATGGAATTGTAATTATGGCTGTCAAAGCTGTTAGGATGAAGAGATATTAATATAATCGATGCGTGAGAGGCGCTTTAACATAATAGTTTGACATAAGTTTTCGAAACGTGCGGTGCCGCATTTCTGTTATACATACATATATATGTATATATATATAGATTGTATGTACGTGGCATGGATCGATTGTTATTCACCATGGATAATCTCGACGATGATTTAGTAACAATACATCTCTTTGAACGATATCAGCATGCGACAACTTATACAAGGCAAACGTATTTAACATGATATCGATATGTAAAATTTAACTTGATGCGTCTAATCTTTTTTATATAGAATTTGTAGGAATGTTAATTATAAATTTATGGATTATCTTATATATCATCTTTTTTTAAATAATAATTATGTAATTATGTTTAATAATAATTATTTATACTATTTAACAGAATAAAGATTACTATTTATTACTATTTAACAGAATAAAAAATTAAAATGTTATCTTTTATATTACATTAGCATTTTTAAATTTATTAATAATGTGAAAATGAATCGTTCTCTAATTTTAGCTCGAAACTTATCGTTTACGTCGCTCGGACAAAAAAATGACTTAAGAGATTTACGACCTTAGATCTGGTTATTCAGGTCATCTAGCTCTAAGTTTAAGAGCTTCGGCATGTGCTTCTATAAGTAATAAAATAATTCTATTGATATGCATTGATCGCAAATTCTGTTGAATTACGTAATCTGTTTACTAGATGACCGTAATTTCTATATATATATTTTGTATACATATAAAGAAAGATTTTTAATTATGTTCGAGTAAATAATAAAACTGTTCACCATTTTAAACGCAACGAACTCGCTGTATTCTCGCTATATGATAAACTTTTCTATTATCAATTCGTCGGTCTTGACTCTATTTTATCAGAAATGTTTATTTTATCATTCGGATGTTTATTTTATCAGACATCCTTTTCCTCTACGCGCTTGACAATATAGGAATACCGTAACTCGCTGAAAATATATTTTGATACGAGAAAGTTCATGCGTCAAAACATAAATTTAATGATTTAAGGATTGTCAATTAGATCGATGATTAGATTAATGTCATCAAAATTATAGAACTTACAATAATTGTTACAATACGATTTGAAAGAAGAAAAATTATAATTGATCCTTTCATTTTCAATCCACGAAATAGTATTGAATATTATATACTCGTGATAAGGGGATAACAAGAGGATACAAAAGAATTTAAACGAATCAAAGTAATATAATATGTAAAAAATTCTTTTTTATTAAATTTTCTTCATAATAAAATATATTGATATTTTTCCTATAAAATCTCGAATATTACTGCTAATTAAGTACACTGCATCGAATTGATCTAACAGATTTAGTCGAGTTCGTCCACACCTTCGGTATCGTTATTATCATAAGCTAAATATCATTTCCAAGGTGGCTTGCTTCTCTGCTGATCTAATTTCGTAACCATTTTTTGCGGGAGGGATATATGTTCACTAAGGTCATGCGAAGTCTAGCAAAATAAAGTTATGTTATAAATATATATATACATATATAGTATACATAAAATTTTAGCTGCAATATATAAATAAACCTCGGAAGTTGGTTGCCACATGATGCTATCTTCGCTCATTATACTTAATTCCTTTTTTAAGTAATGTTTTCGCGGTACTTCCCTGCATTCTAACGGCGGGCTTGAAATGCTGCTTCTAGGATTTGCATCCCTATCTTCCTTTGCTAGTTGCATTTCTGCAATCTGTAAACAATTTATTTGTATTCGACCTATTAGTTCGATATTATTAATAGCGAAAGATTATCGTTTAGATTTTAATTACCATTTTCACATATTTTCGAAGATCGTTCTTTGATTCTTTTCTACTAGTTAAAGGTGTATTTTCATTAGAATTCATTGTAATCACGCTTTCGTTTTGATCTTCAAGCAATTGTATTGGGTTTTGCGTCTCCAACAACTGAGCGGCATATCTTATCGGTTCCTGAGAAAGCTTAGTGTAACAGTTTGGCATTGATTCAGACTTTTTAGGACCTTTAGAATCAAAATGTTTACTTGCATAAATTTTTTGAATCGGAGATAAATTATCCGTATTACCACCTGTTACAACCATAATAATATTAACAAAGAATCAAGTAACACAAATTCAAAACCATTTCATAATTTACCTGATATAATATGTAAAGCTTGCTGCCATTGCTTTTGCATAACAGAATGCAGTTGTTCTGCAAGTTGGGATTTTGTTGTGCGCTGAGAGTTCAAATGCGTTTCTAACATAGATGATCTTTGTAAAGCTTGAGCTAATTGTAGCTCGCATAACCGTTTCTCTTCTTTATGTTTTTCTTCTAACAAGTTTATTTCTAAACGGTGTCTGAAAAAAATATAATATGTCTATGTATTTCGAAAAATTAATTTGTATATTTTTCATTGCAGTATTATATTTAAGAAAGTATATACGCAACGAACTTATCAATAACATCCTTTATCTTCCTAGCAGCGCATTCAGCTATAACTTGCTGTCTTGTTTTTAATTCTTCTAAAAATTCTGATTCAGCAGTATCAAGTTGCGTTTGAAATTCTTGTAATTTTACTTTCACCACCTCATCGACCTGTTTCTGATAAACCTCCTGTAATTCTGCCCTGATTTTTTCCTTTTGCTCGACAATAGATTTTGTTTCGTCTTTAGCTAATTTCTGAAAAAATAAAAACAATTAAAGTAATATAAAATCATTTGATAACTTAATTACAGAAAGTTTAACATTTCAGATATAATATATCACCTCTGCTTTCTTAGCATCATCAATAGATACAAGTAACAATGAATTCTTTTGTTCTAAAATAGAATTTCTGTTTATCTCTTCTTTCAATTTAAGTTGCAAATTCTCTTTTTCTTGTCTGAGTACTGTCAATTCGGCTTCACAAGTATCCAGTGCTTTATGAATAACACCCATCTCACTTCGTACTTCACTCCCTCTCAGACGTTCTTTATTTAATTCTGACTGAACAGTTTTTAATGTCTCCTCATTTTGCAGATTTTTTTCTAATAATTTGTTAAATTCTATCTTTATTTGTTCATATCTATTTTCTGCTTCTTGGACTAATAATTTATAACTTTCTAACTCATCTGCATGGGTTTTTAGTAAATCAACTTTTTCTTTGATCGTGGTGTCACTTTTCTCTTTATATCCAGCTGCCAAATCTAAAGTTTTTGATAATTTTTCTTCAAGCCCTTTGATTTGAGTTTGAAGTTCTGAGATTTCAGATTGATGTTTCTCTGTGACATTTTGCAGATTAGTTTGTGAGTTTTTATGTTCAACTTCTAGTATTGCGACTTGTTGCTTTAATTTAGACCAAGCTGCATGAAATTGAGATATCAAAACGTTTTTCTCATTGTCGATTCTAACCGCTACTGCCACTTTCTCTTGTTGTTCCAGCAGTCGTTTCTGAAGTTCTTGAATCAGATGCTCACAATGCTAAAAACACAAAATATATACTTATTAACGCAAATACATACTTATGTCATACATATATATATA